CCACAAAGCCACCAGCATTGTGGGGGATCCAACACGCCCCTCACACACTCTCTTCACCCTCCACCATTCAGGCCCTCACTGCCAGACTGTGTAACATTTTTCCCCCAAGCTGTCAGACTCCTGAACAATCACAGACTGGACTGATACACACACACACACACACACACACTTTTCTACACCCCACTACCTCATGAACTTTTGTACAACTTTTAGTTTTTAGCACCACCCATTGCACTGTGTCACTTTATACTTTACCTCCATCAGGACTGTATACCAGTAGCTCTGCTCTGCTCTGCCTGTCTTACCCATTATCATTTCTTCTATTTCTTCTATTCCACTGTATTGTCCACTATAATGTCTTTGCAATGTCTGCACTCTTTGTAGCACCATGGTCCTGAAGGAACATCGTCTCGTTTCACTATGTACTGTATCACTGTATATGGTTTAAATGACAATAAAAACCACTTGACTTGACTTTATACACCAAGATGTATTTATGACTGACCTGGATCAGTTATTACAGAATACAGCTGTAACACTGGCCTTTGCTGGGATTAGAAACCAGCTACAGACACATCAGCCAGTCTGACAGCTTTAGTAACGATTCATCCCCACAATATATAAAAATGCCTGAATTATGAATTTCTTGTTATTGTTAAACACAAACATCATAAACTAGAAGTCAGTGAATCCTGAGGACTCAGTGCAGCTCCCAGGTGTAACATACAGATCATAAACTCATGTGTTTGGCAAAGAGCAAGGCCTGTATCTGATCTGGTAATCAGAGCTGTATTATGGGATGTCTCCCTTACAGGTAATGCAGATATGAAAGTTAATATTTCCGTACATTCATACAGACATATAAAGCTACAGCCATCCACCCATCTATCTTCTATCTGCTCCTCCTGGTCAGGGATGTGGGGCCTGGAGCCGATCCCAGGCAGGACAGGGCACAGGGATGGAGGACATCCTGGACGGGATGCCAGTCAGTCACAGGACACATAGACACACTCTCTCTATTAGAGACACCAATTAGCCTGACTGCATGTCTTTGGACTGAGGGAGGAAACCCACACAGCACATGGAGAACATGCAAACTCCACACACACAGAGCAGGAGCCAGATTCAATCCCCTAAATGGAGATGTGAAGCTACAGCGCCACCTACTGGGCCACCATGGCATCTGCAGGGAAACTATAATCCCAATAA